ATACTTTAAAACATATTTTATGTAATGAAATAAAATTAACATGGAATGTTTTTGGTAGTGTGAGAGCATATCCTCTGCTCCTAATCCTGCCTTTTCACCTGTAGCCAGTCCAATACTAACAATAAGTACCTCTCGATGTCGGTTTGTGATGTCCGAGTTCCAGAAACGTTACGTTCTACAGATTCCCCAGTATCTTCATTATCAATTTTTCTTTCATCCCTTAGATCATCATCTAGATTTTGTGTTTTAGTTGTTGAATCGACAAATATTGTATGTTTATCTAAACCTATTATTACTACCACTTCTGAGACCGATATTACGGTTAATTTAAGTTTAAAAGTTAATATTACAGTCAACTGATTCAGATTATTCTGATAATGTGATAAATTTCTGTTAACAGTTGCAGCATTAAAAATGAATACTGGCATAAGAGAGCTTTACTTAGCTGATAACATGCTGAACTTATACGATGCGATACAGCTTGGTTCTCTTCTTAGGTTAAATAATCATATACAATTACTTGATATTAGGTATGTATTGATAAAAAAAATGGTATTTATAATATTATATTTTATGATACTATAAAAGTATCGTTAATTTGCTTTCAGTAATAACGTCATTCAAGATGATGGTGTACATGATATCTTAGAGGGTCTGATTAATCAAATAAATGAAGACAAGGATGGTAAAGGCTTAAGCATATTAATATTATGGAATAACCAACTCACAAAAAAATCATGTCCCCATTTGGCACGTATAATAGTATGTAATTTTATTTATCATTATAATTGTGCATGTGTGAACTATAAACTTATTATTAGTTTTTTGTACATTTATATTCTACTGCATTAATACTATTATGTATACTATATTAATACTATTTATATACATAGGCATTGTCTAAGACATTAGAAACATTGAATATTGGAAAAAATATATTGACTGATGAATTGTTATTTGTTGTAAAAGATGCACTGAAAAAAAATCGTGTTTTATTACAATTGGGAATACAATCAACTGAACTTACATGTGATGGAATTGTTACGTTATCTGAGATTATTGAAATAAACCAAGTTTTACAAGTAAATATTGAAGATTTCTAAATGTTAGGAAGAGATTAAAAATGATCTCGTATTAAATTTGTATCTCTTTTATTATTTTAGAGGATAGATTTGCGAAATAATAGCATACAAATAACTGGAATGAGTGCACTCAGTTCTGCTATAAAAAAAAATAAAAGTATTACTAAAATAGATTTGGATGATACACCTGACATGAAAGTAGTAAGTAAACATGTTCATTATACCATATAAAAACTCATTCCACAGGATTACATATTGTTGTTTCTTTTTTCTTCTGTTAATAATAGGATGACCTAACCCAGACCTTGCATCAGTACACGCAGCTTGTAGCTGAAATTCGAAGCTGTTGTTTGGAAAACGAGCAAAATCGTACTTTAGAAGAAAATAGCGAAGGTTTTGAAAATTCATATCATAGCAGATTCTGTAGTACAACCTCCCGTAAAATTTCGCTTACTTGTCAAACACTGCCATGTTCTTTATCATCCGTGATTTCAATACAAAAAGATGAATCTGGACGATCGATGCTCGAACCAAAACGTATTAATGGAGGTCGTCTTCGTTCCCCAGCTCCTAGTCCTGCCTCTTCACCTATAGCCAGTCCAATACTAAGTCCCTCTCGAAGTCGGTTTGTGGTCTCCCGAGTTCCAGAAACGTTACGTTCTACAGATTCCTCAGTATCTTCGTCATCAATTTTTCTTTCATCCCTTGGATCATCACCTACCTGTGTCACTTCTGCAAGTGGGTCATCTAGATTTCGTGTTTCAGTTGTTGAATCAGCAAATACTGTGTGTTTACCTAAACCTATTATTACTACCACTACTGAGACCGATATTACGGTTAATTTAAGTTCAAAAGTTAATATTACAGAGTCAACTGATTCAGATGATTCTGATAATGTATTCACATCTGAATCAGAAACAAATAATGATCAAACTATTGACAATTTACGAAATACTTCAAACGATGTATCTCATTTAGTTTCAAATATGGTAGAGGAAACGTGTACACCAATGATACCTGAATGTCCTAACGTAGAAGAATTAAATACAAATAAATCTTTTGTTAAGGCAACTATTAGAACTCAGTCCAATGATAATATAAGTTCTACTACTTTAGAACGCAAAGAAGATGGTGATTTACCAGACAATCAGATTATTTCAACACAATTGAAAAATATTTCAGCAACAAGAAATATAGAAAAAGTAGAAAAGTGTTCTAATGAAGATACAACAAATACAAAAATATCTACAAACATAGATAAAAATGATAAAAGTTTTACTTGTTCTGCAATAAGTGATAAATCAGTAATTATTAATAAAGATCATGATACGACAAATAAAGTAACAAATACTTTTACGAACGAAAATATAGAATTGCAATCGCAAACAAAACATGATCCTATACAAAAAAATACTTCTAATTTAGGAAAATTACTTTCACTATTTCAACAGTCTAGTTGTTTTTTTTCTGATACTACTTCTATTAATCAATTGAAAAGTAAAAGTACACTTCAAGGTAGCATAAACAGCATGATGACTCTTGGAGATAAATTCCATTATTACATAAAAGATAAGAGAGATAGGATTTATAATCGTGAAACAGAAGAATCTTCAGTATCGCTAAAAAGTAAATCAAAATTTTTCAATGTTTCTCAATTACCAAGTTTACAAAGTTTAGCAAATATGATTCCATCATTTAGGTTTGAGGGTAATTTAAATACTCCTGAACAGAGTAATAAGTCTTGTCCCAAAGAAGTGAATCTTTTACTTGAGAAAGATTGCGGAAATAACATAGAGAAAGAATGTACTGATCATAGCTGTGAAAGCAAAAATTTAAACGTAAATTTAGAAGAACAAAAGAATAATGTTCCCATTTTAGATAATCAGTTATTATCTGAAAATATACAATCAAAATTTCCTGTTGGAGTTACTAACAAAGACGTAGTATTAACTGCAAATTGCATCGTTTCAAATATAATCGATACTTGTTCTAAAATTGTAAATGATAATTTATTAATGCATGTTTCGAATAGTAACGCAATTGTACCTGTACCTAAATTAATAGGTATATCTGAATATTCTGCTTTAAAAGCAGCTACAACCAATGTACAGAAAGAAAATATAGCGGAAATACTAGACAAAGTAGATCCTATACTAATAAAAGAAACGAATAATAAAACTTTAACAGACAGTATTAATTTTACTAGTGATAGCAACTCCTTATCGTGTAGTGTAACGTATGATGTAAGCAATGATATGCATACTGTACATATGCCTGACAGAATGCACAATTTAGTAATATTAAATTTAAGTACAAAACATAATGTTGAAAATAATTCTGCTTTTAATGTAAATAGTACACAAAATAATATGGCATGTTTTGTATGTAATGGAAAATGTGTCTGTAATGTAAATAATAAATCACTTGAATGCTATAATACGTTGAAGAATGTAGAAACAAATTGTTTAAATAATGAAGTTACCAGAATGTATAGTATTAACAGTAATAGTGATAAAAAAGTTTTTATAAATGTTCATAACATGCCAAGCAATAAAGTAGAAAGAATAAATGCATGTCGTGTAAATAGTAGTACGAATTGGAAGGATACAGCTGTAAATAACATACCAGAAGCAAAGATATCAAACATAAATTGCATCTGTAAAAATACTAACTTCGAATTTAATGATGGTAGCACAGATTTATGTGCTTCAGTACTTCATACAAATGTAAGTACACAAATAAAACAGAAAGTGATAGAACCATTTATTACAAAAGATAACAAATATTTGAAAATAAGTAATGTAAATGAGATGGAAATTAATAACTCCATTATGGAAAGAACTATGGATAATGCATTCAGAAGTATGAACATCGTTATACCTATACCAAGAACGTACTTTTGTATGACAAATTTCAATAAGTTCTTTCTTAGAAATCTTTTACATCATGTAGCTGACATCTCTATTGATGGGTCTACATTCAATGCATTTTCATTAGAAATTACACCTAAAAATTGGCCAAACAATAATATTATTAAAATAAAGACCTTATTTTATGATTTATCTCAAATATCTTATTCATTAATGAATGCTATAACTGAGAAACCAGAAAATATTCATAACAAGAATCAAGTTTCTAAAATAGAAAGAAATTTTTCTGTGTATGATTATGCCGAAGAAAGTGCAAGTTTCTACACAAAACAGAGATTCAAAGAAAATGACATTTTTGGAATTGTTTCTGAATGTTCTTCAGTACCTGTAATGGTTGATCCTATTGTCTATCCAAAAAGAGATGTATCTTATTTGAAAGAAAGCAATGCTGTATGCGATAATTTATCAGAAAACATTCATATACTCAGTAATTTTGGATCAAATATTGCTCAACATTTAAAATGCCCAAATTCAGATGATATAAGTGATACAACTCATCAATATTTTAATACAATTGAATGTACAGTTGCCACAACTATGTGTTCAACGACTGCAGTGAATACAAAGGGCAATACAACAGTTGACATTATTTCTGATCAGAGTACTAATATTGCTGAGCCTCCGTCAGTAATTCGCGCAACAAGGTGAGTAAAGTCCGTTAAAAAAATTGATAAAGATCGTAAGTCTATATTACGTTAGAGATATTTCAGAAGAAAATATTTATTAAATGCTTAAATATGCATATTTTTGTATTATACAATTTATATACAAATCCAAGTATTTTGTTTAAATTTTAAATTTGAATATTGAAAAATATGAAAGAACTGTTATATGTTATATATATATATATGAAAGAACCCTTTTATTGTTACTTTTTCACTTGATGTTTAAAAACAGGTTTAAAATATATTTTTTACTATAAATATGAAGCTCTCTATATTAGTCAAATTTGATACATTTAATATCAAACATTTAAACTAGTTTTAATAGGTAAAATGACTAGCACAAATATATGATTGACTGGAAAATACTGTTTTCTTCTGTTATATTAGAATTGTTAACAAAAATAGAATTTCCTTTATTTTAAATTGAGTATAAATTGAAACATGTTATATTAAATAATTACTTCATTTGCGTTATGGAAATGGAATTATCATGTAATAATGGAAAACATTAAGTATATTACAATGAAAAAAGTTATTTCATGCTTAATATTATTTAAACAATTTCATGCTGCTTATTCTTCATCATATCTCATCATATTTGATATGATAACTTAAGAATTGTTAATAAATAAATTATACATAAAATAAACAAATTCATCTGCCATAAATATGTGGATTTATAAAACTCAT